GATCTGTCTAGGTCCCTTCCAACTCATTGATTCTATGATGGTACTTTGAAGCTTTCTATTTCCAACTGATTTCATCCAGTTCAAGTGCTGTTCTCTTTTTCCGTGTTTCTAAATTTTTCTTCAACATCATTTTCTTGTATGGAATCAGTTCTGCCATAGATCAGCTTATGTACTCTTACTTCTTTCACTTATTTTCACTTGATTCATCATTCTTATAAAATAGTTAGTCCAAACTTCGTTAATCAGTTCTCCATTTGTTTGAAGTATACCATGTTCATTTATAATATAACCATCCCATTGTCCTTTGTTCTCTTGCCTTGGTGAAAATTCCTCTTAGTTCATTATAAAGTCTATCACTGGCCACACTCTTAGCTCCAACTGTATTCCTTTTTTTTGCCTCTCTGTATGCCACCCAATCACTGTTCAAGCCTATGACTAGCCATTTTTCTTTTCAATTGATTTTTTTCACATGAGAATTCTGCCACCAAGGGCCTTTGTACACACCACAAAATTGGCCTTTAAAGCAGTTTAAATGTCCTTTTGCACCACTTCAATGGCGCATCTGTTTACACTGTCAGCGGCGTATTGCATGTTAAATGACTTTGGAAAGTAGCAAAATAAAACATATCTGAGGTATTTTAGTTTGCTACCTTACAGCTGCGGAGGGAAGCACTGGACCCTGTGCAGCTGAGGGGCTGTGCAGGAAGCCCATGTAGGCATGTCTACTGAAGAAAAAGAAAAAAAAGCAACGAGCTTGATCTTTTTCTTTTTTTTTTCTGCCTGGAGCCTGCCTGCCTAAGCTGCATGGGGGCCTGGTGCTTCCCTCCATGGCTGTGGTGCCCCCCAGGACTGCCTGGACTGGGTGCCTGCAGGTGGATGCCACCTGGGGGGGGTGCCACCACCACTGCAGAGAGAAGCGCTGCCCCTCATCGTGGCTTAGAGACTGCTCAGCCCACCAGCAGCTCGCCCTCTCCCCCTGCCACCAGGGACGCAGGTAAGGATCGGGCCTGACCCTTGTGTACATGCCGCAGGGATTTACTTCAGTTTAATTTGAAGTGGTGTTTTTAAAAACCCACTGCTTCAATTTAGGGAGAATTAAACTGAATTAAATTCCTGTGGCATGTACAAGTAGCCCAACATTCCCTTCTTATTTGACTCAGCTTTAGTTTTGTCACTCCTAGGCTTTGCACCATTTCCATCATAGTTTAATTTGTACCAGTTTTCTTCTACATATCCTGATTTATAGCCAGAACTTGTATGCAGTCCTTTATTTTGGAAAGTTTTTCTCATAGTCATCTTTAAGTTCCTACCCATTAGGATTTCCTAGTATCCAGGGTCTCCGGTCTATTGGGAGAAGGGGCAAATAACACACATGCCTCAAAGTATGTCCCCTTTTAAAAATATATAATTTAAACATTTAATATAATATGAATTCCACAAACATAGTTTTGTGGTTAACACTTCTTTTGTGTGAAAAGATTTATTTGATAAGCAATTGATTCCCTTTCCCTCTGCCAAATAGTGCAGCTTTTAGCCAAACGAGAATTCCCACTGCCTACCAAGAGATTTTCCGTATCAGTAAGGATTGTGGGACCAGGCACTTGCCTCACTTTTTGGAGACATTTTAAAATCTATTCTAGAATAACTGCTTGCAGAATGGAGCACGCTTTATACCAAATGATCAAGTTAAAATAATTTCGTTGCTGGTCCCATTCCAGTGAAAACTAGAGAGCTGTCCTGATTGTGCCTCTCCCATCAAATCTTTCTGCAAGGCAGCAAATGTCAAAGTGTGATGTGGAGTAAGAATGAACCGAAAAAATTGCATGAAACATCAATTTTTGAAAAGTGTATGCCAGAAATTATAGCCTGCTGCTGTTCCAGTCACTTGTTTGGTAGTTTCACTAATTGTGATAAGTGTTCTGAACTTTTATGAACTGACACCTAAGTAACAAGAGCTACTTTATCCTATATTATAAAATCTATAGATTAGCCCTTGTTGCAAAATGTAATTTTTACAGTAAATACTTGCCAATTACTTTCTGGCATGAAAGCCTTTAATTAAATTATGCATATGAAATCTGACTGGATTCCTTGAATCATGAGAGGATTGCCTTTTTCATAACCTATTCACTGTGTCAGGAAAAATAATCATAAAAGATATGGCAAGTAAAAGCTCTTGAGAGAACATGTATTTCCCCTGCAATTTCATTCCACTTGACAGATATAAGTTTTCTACATGGAACTTTATTTCTATAAGTAGACATTGTGTGTTGATTATTTTGAACCTGAAATTGCAAGGGACATGTTGTAATTAGATCTACTTTGGTTGGAATTGAAAATGTATTGTAGTTGTCAAAATGCCCAGGGCACATATTCTAATATAACTTCACTGAATTTATTCATATGTGGCAGAGACAGTCAATATTTGAGGTAGGAACTGTCAATAAAAGCAAAAACCTATTAATATGTATGTTACAGAAAGTGGCTTCACCAGTTAAGTACTATATCTTTGTTTCAAAAAAGAGCCACTACACGCTTTGAAAAATGTGATCTTGTAATGGAGAACACCATTTGTCTTTCAGAAATGTGGTCTTTCAATACAACCCCTATAGCTTACTATAAAATCTAATGTAGTCTTAGGAAAATAAACTGGACAAGAGAAGCAAAAGGTAAAATATCTACTTACCATAGTGTTTACTCTCAGTAACATGGTGAAAAAAATCCCTTTCTGTTGCTTATGCAGAACACCCTGGTTTTTTGCTGGTGTCAAGGTGGTAGCGGTAGCATAGTATCTCTTATACACACTGGCCTGCAAACCATACTGATAATTGTGGGAAGCCTCATTAGTATCTTTCAATGTGCATTATCAATCTTTTCAGTTTTTCCACCATAGCATGATTGTGCCTGACTTTTACAATTTGTTTTAATCATTCTCCAGGTCTCCTGTTATGGCTGGAGGTCTGTTTGCTGTTGACCGAAAGTGGTTTTGGGAGCTGGGCGGCTATGACCCAGGTTTAGAAATATGGGGAGGAGAGCAGTATGAAATCTCTTTTAAGGTAAGTCATTGAGTTACTTCCATATACACTGCCTATTCTGTTTGGTTTGATCCACGTTTTACCAGTCTGGCCCCAAGTTTTGAATATGCCTTGTTATTGTTATGTCTTTACACATATTGACTCTTCCTATCATTAACTTCATTCCATAAAATAATTCTTTTGCTTTTATAAGGTATTTTCACTGTTTTCAGGGAAAAGTGCACCGTACAATCATGAGCCAGATTCTAATCAAACTATTAGGCATTCAAGTGGACTTAGATGTCTAAGTGTGATTTTGTTCTACCCTGTTGAAGTCCCTGAAAGACAGTTTATGCAAAAAGTGGGTGGTTCCTCCTCCTCCCTGCTTTTTTGTGACTCAGTCTTAAGGGTAAGATGATGGGGTGTTACAAAAGTAGATGCATTAATGTATTTTCATAGACTTGAACCCAGAATCATGCTATATGCCTAAGTCCATTTACAGCCTTAATAAGACTATATGCCCCATGTGTCACTCACACAGAAATTACATTATGAGTGGCATAGTAAATGCCAGATTTTTAAGTATATTCCCTAATTGTATGTGGGTTTTTGTACTGCCTAGGTTAACTGCACAAATCTAGTCTGTGTATGCAAATCAATTATTTGCACCTATCTAGTGGCTTCTTTACAGAGGCTAAGTACACGTATTCAAGAAGATGGAAGTGCTTTAACTTTTGAGATTACTAAGATTAGGGCTGGAGCAAGCAGAACACGTTAGCCCTTATGGGGGTTGGGGGGGCAGGGGGGTTGGAGCCTTCCTGGGTGGTCCAAGCCCAGAAGGTAGAGGGCGTTCTTGCACACCTCCCAGCATGTCCTGCAGACTCCCTGAGCTGCCAAATACTCTCAAGCAGAGCCAAATGACAGAGCCACCCCTGACTGGCTGGGGTGGGGGGTACATCACAGTTGCCCACCTGCACCTGATGCACCAGACCATGGGTTTCCAGCCCCAGGCTCCTCTGGCCTTGCATCCTGGGCAGTGCTGCCCTCAACCCAGGCTGCCCAGGCATTGTCCCCTTTCCCCTGTCCCTCCCCAATACCCTCTAGGAGCACACATTGGGCTGCAGAGAAGTGCAGCCCAAGGAAGAGACTTGCCTTGTTTTAATTTAATGTTGAAGCTGCCACACTTTTAGTGTATTTATTTAAAAAAAAAACCTGTGGAACGTTGCCTGCTTGGGAACTTGGAAACTTCTTCTAAGTTAACATTGAGAGAGTGATGAAATACCCTGGCTGCACCGGGCAGTTATGACATTGGTACAGTGACAGGTGTGGGTAGTTGTGGGGACTCAACTTAAGAAACACGAAACCTTGGGGCAGCAGGGGAAATGCCACATGTGAAACTGCCACCTCTCGATTTAATTAAACGTTGCTGCAGCCAAACTTTGCATTTGTATAATAAAGAAAAACTGTAGAAGGTTGCCTGCCTGGAACTTGGACCTGAGCCCAGAGGGCTGCCTATCTTCGCAGAGGCTGCACTGCTCCCCTGCAGCATGACCTGGGCACAGAGTGGCCTGGCCCAGTGAGCTGGTGGGCCTCCCGACCCCTCTCCC